TGCCCGCTCACAGCGGGGACCCCGCCATGCCAGGGAGCGACAGGGAGCTGTGCTCCTAAGTCAGGGGCAATATTCAGGGACAGCCTGAGGCAGACAGGGCGCCGCCGATCGGCACGGGGACCGCCGCACACGTCGCCGCATCACCGCGTCTTCACGATGTGTGGCCTGCAGCACTGAATTTTAAGAACTCGCTCAAAGCATTCAAGTGCTGCCAGGAGCCACTTTGCTGCCACTTCTGTGGCCTCTTACTCCTTTCTCTCGGCGTCCCCACTACCCTGACTGCGACATCCCTGTATCGTGCATCCTGCCAGCGCTCCCTCCGCCTGCACTCGCCCTTCTTACCCGTCCCAGTCTCTCCCATCGGTGCGGGCCCAGAACAAACCCAAACCTCCTCTGGCTCAATCCTCTCTTTCCCAGGTCCCTCTCACCACTCACTGGCCTGGGGCTGCAGCCATCTTTGGTGGCTGGGTTTCCTGTGTGCCGGGACCGCAATGTCTCCTATCCTTACCCCCGTGCCACGCAGAGCACTGAGGCGGCTCCGAGCTGTATCTGTGGCACTGACTTGACCTTCACGGGACCCCTAGCCTCCTTCAGGATACAGACACGCTCCCTCTGTTAGGCTGTGACAGTCTGAACGGGGCGGTTCCAGCGGCAGAGCCTTAAAGCCGCCTTCACACCACATGCTCACGTTCTATCTCAGCAAGCTGCTCTGTCACAACACCACAGAGTTCACATTTCATGGGCGCGTGGCTCTAGGTTTTGAGAACCTCTGGCTTCTCTGCCTAATTGACCATATTCTTCTCTGGTCCTGTATCCTCTGCTTAATGGAATTGAGGGCCCATTACTATCCTGATATATAAAAACCAAGGGTCCACAACAACCGAAGGCTCGACCGACCAGAAGTCAGTCCTGCAGTCAGTGCTGGGTTGCCGTGGGGACCCAGCACTGACTGCCACTGCTGCAGGCGCGGCGACCCAGCACTGACTGCCGAGGGGGCTGCGGATCAGGCCTGGAGAGAGGCCCAAAGAGAGAGGCAGGGTCTGATCCGCAGCCTCCGTGGCAGCTGTTGATCAGCCATTGCCTCTCTCTTTCTCGGGCTACTGATCAGCTCTGCCTCTCTAATAAGGCCTGGGCCTGGAGATAGGCCTGGAGACACTGACTGGAATAGAAACTGACCAATCAGAACCAAATCTGGGTGAAGTGAGAGGAGCCAATGGCTGCCTAGAAGGAGGAGCTTTTGACACTGACTGGCATAGAAACTTACCAATCAGAACCTAATCTGGGTGAACTGCGAAGGAAGAACCTAAGGTGGGGGCTGAGGAGGGGGTTTTAAGGGCAACAGCTGTTTGGTGTAAGGCAAAGGGGTTAGGGGCAATCAGCTGTTTTAATGACCGGTTTGGCAGTATAGTGCATATGGCTGGCTATCAGTCCAGATATAGGGATTATGTATTTTTGTCTGCCAAGAGCATCTCCTCCTGCTGAAAAATCCCCCCCCACCATGTAAGCAATCCTATCCTATATAATCTATCTATACTAATAAAAGGGTAATATGCTAATTAGACCAGGTCGACCGGCCATCTTCCGGACGTCTGACTTCCTTCTGGACAAGGCCATGGTGGTGGGGGCTGAGGCAGAGGCAGTTAGGGGCGATCAGGCCGGCAGGGGAGGGCCGGGGAGGGCAGTTGGGGGCAAGATCAGGCCAGCAGGGGAGGGCAGGGAGGGCAGTTGCGGACGATAGGCAGGCAGAGGCAGTTAGGGGCAATCAGGCTGGCAGGGGAGAGCAATTAGGGGCGAGACCAGGATGGCAGGGGAGGGCAGTTAGGGGTGATCAGGCAGGCAGGCAGAGAGGTTAGGGGTGATCAGGCAGGCAGGCAGGCAGGTGAGCGGTTAGGAGCCAGTGGTCCCAAATTGTGAGAGGGATGTCCAACTGCCGGTTTAGGCCTGATCCCACAGGGGGTCCCCGATTGGAGAGTGTGCAGGCTGGGCTGAGGGACCCCCTGGTGCACAAATTTCGTGCACTGGGCCACTAGTTCTCTTATAAGTTACTTTTAAAGGTAATGAAACAAAACACCTATCCCAACACATTCCACCATGCTGTAAATCTGACTGTTCCACGCTCCAACTTAAGGGGACCCATCCTGAAATAGAATTCTAGGGTTGGAAGAGAATGGGGTCATCCCCCCCTCTCATGTCTATACTAATAAAAGCATAATATGCAAATCAACCAAACGGCCAAACAGCAGAATGACCGTCTGGAGGACCATGCTATGACATGCACTAGCCCAGGCCAGCCAAGGTGGGTGCGATGTGATTGGGTGGGGGGCCTGCCATCACCCCATGATCGCCCCGCAGAGGGAGGCCCAGGCTCCCCGGCCAGCAGCTCTGCAGCAGGTGGGTGGGGCCTCCCTCTGCAGGGCAATCGTTTGCAGGGCTCCCAAACTGAGAGAGGGTGCAGGCCGGGCTGAGGGACGCCCCCTCTCCCCCCAGTGTGCACAAATTTCATGCACTGGGCCTCTAGTAATTCATAAGTTCCTTACCCATCACCCCCACCCCCAACAGCCCTTCCAGGTGGAGGAATCTCAGTCCAGAGCAGCCATTCCCTCACCGAGTAGTTCTAATCATGAGCAGTGTGTTTCTATGACAACTCAAAAAGCCAATGCCCTCCGACTTCCAGCCCCAGGCCAGGCCTCTGGAGCATACAGCAGGCTACCCTGTTGGCCTCAGCATCTGCGGACTACCCTGCTCTCATCCGTCTTCCCCGGTCCTGAGAGTCTTCAACTCCATCAGCCCTTCCTGATGCGACAGGGCTGCTGGATGCCTCCTACACTGTTTGCCCTCTTGTGGTTAGAAAAATTCCCTTCTTAAACGTGGCTCCAAAGATGACCACGAGCCTCTAAACACATACTAGATGCAGCTAAAGTTTAGAAGGAAGACAGCAGCTGTACTGGGGAGAAGATGCCTGGAGAAGACAGGGACAGCCCTCTTCCCAGACGGTCAGGGCAGCCTCGGCGGGTGCCCTGGGAGGCTGTGTCTGTGTGCATGTCCTGGGAGTGCGTGTTCAAGGAGAGCTGGGCGGACACGCTTGCCGGGAAGATGACTCTCCGTGAAAGGGGTTATCAGATGGCAACGGGCCAAACACAGAGCCTCCTTTCGCCTGACCTACAGCTTTCCTGTTGCACATCCAGAGTTGCTTCCACCAGCTCACTCAGAGATGCCTTTAACGTGAGAACAAGGATGGCCTACGAAAGGCCTGGGTGGGAGGATGCGGCCGGTGGGGGTGACGGCGGTGGTGACCTTCTCAGGACACAGGAAGGAGTCTGTCTCCAGGAGACGAGGGCCAGGAGGAGAGGGCCTCACCTGGTCGAGGAGCATCACGGAGGATTTGATGATCTCTCTCCACCTCTGGAGCTCAGTATCGTGGTACTTTTGTTGGGACTCTAAGAGCTGGGCCCACTCTGTCTGCGACTGGGGTAACCTGTGGGGTGGAAGAAGGGGTCCCCCAGCAGCTGGAGTTATGCTCAGTGGACTGTCCTGTGCTCCCAGACCCCTAAAGGACAAAGAGGCACATCAGAGCGTTCTGCCCTCCGCTCCTGCCCCGGGGCCCGTGCAACCTTTACGGCCAGTTTTCGGAGCTGGCTGATGGGCCGTCACAGAGGGCAGGGGGTTCCCACGGGGACCGGAGGCAGGAGCGAGGGCAGGGTCCGGGGCAGGCGAGGGTGGCGGCGAGGGGAGGATTACCTTTCTTGGAGCCTCAGGCCCTGCCAGGCAGTGAGGGTCTGGGTGGTGTACTCCAGCGTCCAGAGCTTGTAGAAAAGCATCACGTTAAGGAGGACCAGCAGCACCAGGCTAGGACAGAGACGGGAGAAGCACAGCCTGAGCGGCCACCTGAGCGAGACTCCCCGGGAGCGGGACCCCACCCAGAGGCTGAGGCCCTGGCCAGTGGGTCTCCTGAAACCCTGCAGCCAGTGAGCGAGACCCTGCAGTGAGTGAGCGAGACCCTGCAGTGAGTGAGC